TCTGAAACAGGAGGCATGTAATTGTTTTGGTGTAGTTGCAAATTAATTACAAAAACAGTCTGCCTTAAGTACCGCTAAATCTTCATTCGCAACAGCAAATATTGTCTTGACTTGATATTTGCCAGTAGATTATATACATTATATGCTAAGATGATTTCTTATAGTTATATAGTCATGATAATACATGGAGTCGCTCTATATTATGCTTCTTTCTTTAGATATTGGTATAACTAATATTGGTATTGCAATACATTGTACGGCGAATATGAATGTTTTAAATAACTGGTGTACGGCGAATAGTTCATATAGTATACAGTATTTAAGTGAACACCTTGCCTAAATGTGATACATTTTATTAAGGATCCCCGTCCCACCGCCTAAAAATGTAATGAGGCATTGATTTTTAGCTCACCTGCCCAAAGGGCAAGTGAGCTTATGCCATGGCGCAGCGTCCGTCGTCCGTCCGTCCGTCAACTTTTCCTTTAAAACACTACTTGTCCTGAAAGGCCCAGTAGATTTGGACTAAATTTGGTCTGGAGCATCCTTAGGCCAAGGGGACTCAATTTTGTATAAATGATGGGTCTGGCTCCCCTGGGGGCGGGGCCCAATAGGGGAAATATAGCAAATTCTTTAAAATCCTTTGTCTTCTGTAGGAATGAAAGGATTTGGTCAGAACCATCCTTGGGGGAAGGGGAACCAATTTTGTATAAGCCGTGGGTCTGGCTCCCCTGGGGGCTAAGGGGCGGGGCCCAATATGGGAAATATAGCAAATTCTTTAAAATCCTTCTTCTTCTGTAGGAATAAAAGGATTTGGACAAAATTTGGTCTGGAGCATCCTTAGGCCAAGGGGACCCAATTTTGTATAACTGGTTGGTCTAGCCCCCCTGGGGGCTGAGGGACGGGGCCCAATAGGGGAAATATAGAAAATTCTTTTTCTTCTGTATGAATGAAAGGATTTGGTCCATATTTGGTCTAAAGCATTCTTGGGGGAAGGGGGAGAGATTTTGTATAAATGGTGGGTGTGGCCCCCCTGGGGGCTGGGGGCGTGGCCAAACAGGGGAAATATAACAAATTCTTTAAAATCCTTCTTCTTCTGTAGGAATGAAAGGTTTTGTTCCATATTTGGTGAGGTGCATCCTTGGGTAAAGGAGACCCAATTTTGTATAACTGGTTGGTCTAGCCCCCCTGGGGGCTGAGGGACGGGGACCAATAGGGGAAATATAGGTAAACTTTTATAATCCTCCTTCTACCATAGGGATTAAGGGATATTATCCTAATTTAGTCTGGAGCATCCTTAGGCAAAAGGGACTTAATTTTGTATAAGCATGCAGTGAATGTGGTCTCCCAAGGGGCAGAAGGGCGGGGCCCAATAGGAGAAATAGAGGTAAAACCTTTAAAATCCATCTTCGACCATCAGGATTATGGGATTTTATCCTTATTTAGTCTGGAGCATCCTTGGGTCAAGGGGACTCAATTTTGTATAATTGGTGAGTATGATAGTACATATGTATTATAGCCTCGAGCCTGGTCACGTACATACCTCTATCGGTGTTATAGCCTCGAGCCTGGTCACGTACATACCTCTATTGGTGTACNAACCTTTAAAATCCATCTTCGACCATCAGGATTATGGGATTTTATCCTTATTTAGTCTGGAGCATCCTTGGGTCAAGGGGACTCAATTTTGTATAATTGGTGAGTATGATAGTACATATGTATTATAGCCTCGAGCCTGGTCACGTACATACCTCTATCGGTGTTATAGCCTCGAGCCTGGTCACGTACATACCTCTATTGTGCTGTTTCCGTTTCAAGTTCAAAATTGGACGTTTTTATCACAGCTATATTTCATCTCAATTTTATATTTGAAACTAATATAAAAAAAAAAGGGAAGGGTGTTGCTAGCCGTTTTTTTGTTACTGAAATGTTTATGAATTTGTTAGTGACATTAAATGAACACTTAAATAAATTTACATATAATTGAAAAGGTAGGCCATATGCATTTAAATTTTTCTATCATTTGAAGTTTATAAGCACTGTTTTGTACAATTTATATGTACTTTTATTTGTAGTCGACTTACAAAGTTCTTAACCGTTTACATACATTGTATGATATACTGTAACTAATAGTTGACATTCAACGTATTATTTAATGTTTCATATGTACATGTACACTAACAATGTATTTACAATTGGTACAATATTACATTATTCATTGTTATTTAAAGTTTATATTTATCTTACCCAGTCAATATATAAATATAGAGATCCCGTTCCACAATGTGCACCTCTGTGATCCGACGAGTGACTCACCGATTGCATGTCTCGTCACTCGCTTACACTTGTTATAATCCTCTACACGAGTGCTACCACGCCTTCGTTTATTAACATGGATAAATGAAAGACCCCGTATACTACTGTTACAGCGGCACCTTTCTAAATTATTAGTGTATCTCTAGATCGGCTGATATTTCAATCATTTGGTCATAAAGGATGGTTCATTCTCATAAAACAAACCACGTATTTTCTTTATCACATTCTTGTAAATTGAGTTACGTATGACAAATGCTACATAGTTGATGTATATTGTAAAACGCCATATGACGTAACGAATTACGTGCGACTGCTTCAAGTAGAAAACGTAAAGATGCACAATTAAAAAAAGTGACGTTCAAAATCATTGAGGATCCATCAGTCTGTAAGATGTACATGTATGGGGTGACGTAGGAGGCGTTCCGATGGTAGGAGGCTAGCTGACCAAAGCGGGAGGAAGAGGTTCCGGCCGTACGACATAAGAAGCGTTGGACCTATCAAAGCTCAGGAGGCGTCCCAACTGTATCAGAATGTGTAGAATGAAAATTATATTCTGAAAGGTACATAATACATGTATATGACTATTGGCTTGTGGCTTTGTTTCTTATAAAGCTGTAACTAGTCTCATTAGTATTGATAAAACTAAACGCAGACGTTACCTTCGGGGTACAAACCTATTTCTTTGCTTATAGGAAATACCGACATGTCTTCATTTCGTATTTAAATACAAGTAACAAATTATGATCAATAATGTATCATTTATTCCATATGCATCTTAGGTTTTAGATATCAGGTACAACGTAGAGAAAAATGAAAATCTTCTTTCTTAAAATAGGGAAATTTCATAGGTGAGTGTTTCAAAAGTCTGCAGAGAGTGTGGAAGATTTTGAGAGGAACAACTTAATATAAGGTTTCGGTCAATGCAAAAAACAACAAATGAACGTTATTTAAACTAACAATCAATAATCATGAGAGCTATAAATCATATACACATTTATTCTGTTACAACTGTAGTATGTTATATACTTCACTAGTCATATTAAGGTACAAAATGTACATTCCTTCATTTTAAAATTACCGTATGGTACCTTGATATGACATAATATACATGTACAATGTGTAATGGTTCACGATATCCATTACAGAGCGGTCTCTTTTGCAGTGCGCTGTTCACATTACCGTCTTCCTCATAGCACGCTTTCCCCACAGAACGATCTTCCTTGCATGTACAAGCAGGCTTTCCACTACGATCACAATTTCCTTCATGGCACGCTCTTCCCCATGGTACGCTCTTCCTCGTGGCACGCTCTTCCATAAAAAAAATTTTCTCACAACACAATTTTCCTCAAAACACGCTCTCCTTATTACACACATCTTCACACCACGCTTTCCTTTACACCCTACTCAACCAAAGCACGGTCTACCTCACAGCACAATGTCCCTCACAGAACATTGCTCACAGACCGATTTCCCTTAAATTACGTTCTTCTCTCACATGAGACTTTCCTTCACACCACACTTCCCTTCATCACATTACTCACCTCCCCCGACCCACAACATAACACATTCTCTCACAGCACGCCCCACCTCACATCTGACTCATCAAAACATTAAAATATTCTCAAATTAATGATCTTTCTTACACCAGCATTCTCCCTTACANCCCCCCAGCATTCTCCTTACATCACACTCTCAACAGTAATATTGATGTTGTTGGGATTACGACCAAGACGGAAGGATGATTGCTTACGAAATTTGATACACATGGCCTTGAGATGTTTCTTGAAGTTTCCATTCATAAACCCGTACACAATAGGGTTCAGTAGCGAGTTAGAGTAACCGATGAGATGGACGATGGCCAAGCCGACCCGAAATTCCTGCGTCATATCGTGATTCAGGTGGTACACTTGTACAGCGAAAAACGGAAGCCAGCAAACTCCGAATATTATCACCAAAGCAATGAGCATTTTGATGATGCGTTTTTTCTGCGAGTTGCTTCTAGCCAGGTACTGTGGCCTCGCTCCCGTGTCACCTATTGGTTTCTGTATCCACAGACGGAAGGCTATCATCCCATACGCACACATCATTATTAACATGGGTATAACGTAATTCAAAAATAGAATGAAGAATGTGTGCACTACGTCATAAATCTGTTTCTTGTACTTTTCTGCACATACGTACGCGTTCCGAATCTGAGGGATTTTGTCTAGCTGCAGAACAAGTCTCAGTTCAGTCCTCTGTATCCACCAGCTTGGCATAGACAAGAGAAGTGTGATAATCCAGATAACGACCAACAAGACTCCGGCCCGGGTGGCTGTGCGCACGTGACGTGACCTCAAAGGGTAGCTTATCGCGTAATATCTGGAGAGAAAAAAAAAGTGATAAACATATACCTATTGATGAACGGTGTAATATGTATCACAGTGATAACCTAAACTGTGAAGGATCGTTAATCAATTAAATCAAACAAGTCATGCCATGTAATACTGGCCAGATGTATGACAAAGCAGCAACAATCATTTAATTACAACGGGACAAACTAGAGTGATCAGTTTAAAGTTATTTTATAATTGTTGTAAAATATAATTCATTTCTGGCTCGAATTCATCAGTTGTCATGCGATGATTTGATCAAATTTAATATAACACATGTAGAAGCTAAAATCTCCGTTATGGTTATGGTAACTTTTTGAGAAGCACATTCGATATTTATCTATGATAGTAATGAACAAAACAACTAACTGTGATGTCGGATAAAGGATACGGAAATTCCAACCATGGATTTTCACATTGGATAAAACCTGAGGCTCGATGATGGTTTTACTCTAATTAGAAAATCACGAGGTAAGAATGTCCCTAACCTATAAACCCCGGGCATGAGAGAGTAATATTATCTTTTCACGGATGAACTCCCGTCTTTTACGGGGAAGTATGGGCGAAAGGTTGATTTTTTTTCCCAGCAAAAACGGAAATACACCTAACGAGCTAGTTGTATAGAGAGTAGGGACACATTATTAACTGTGGACAAATGGATATTCTGACTTTGCCTGGACATAAAATAGTTGATATGGCCTACTTGGGCCAGAACTTAATCCTTTAACTTCTTCGAATTCGATTCATAATTGAGTAAACAACTTAAAATATGCCTTTCATTCCTATATATTATACGCCCCGTGAAGCCCTGAGTGCGATAGAGCGTCTAACATAATAAGACTAGTATGTACACGTACAATATGTATGTACACTGTAGACAAGCGGACCCTAAGCTATGATCTCAATCAACTGCTGATATGGTAGTCGGGGAGGTATTTAAATATCGCAATCCTACATAAGTAAAGGTAACTTTTGTATAGCACTATACTGATTCAAAATAGTTTATGATTGATGGATCCAAATATTAGAGCCCGTGTTTATCAAACCCTTCTCATACTCAAGCATGGATTTTTTTACTCAACCCTAATTTGTTGTTCGCTTATAAATTGTTAATAAAATCTTATTTTGTCAATGATTTGGGAAAATATGAAGAAACTTCAAGCTAAAAACTGTTTTCAATGTTTACAATTGACTTTTTGATTGTTTGACATGATTTAATTTAGTAACAGGAAAGTTGGTTTGAGCACAGAATCCATGCTTGAGCATGAGAACGGTTTCATGAAATTTACCTACATGTAAAACACACATTCTTCATGGGTTTTTCGTTCTTATTAAATTCACTGATGTGTTGGGGTGCTATTCTAAGTTCCTATGCCATGATACGTTTTTTTAGAGTGAACTGAGAGAAATAATTTTGCCCAAAGTTTCAGAGGTAACCGTTATCTTGGTTGATGTAGACAAACTATTACCTTTCTCTTTGGTGAACTATATCTGTATCGATTTTAAACAATATTATTATAGCAAATGAGTGAGGACATTACAGAAATATCTAACAACCATCAAAAACATGTACCGTAATCTCGGCTAGGACACACTTCTAATGATAGACGTGTAGACTGTAGATTGCTGTGAATGGGCCACTCTTACACTCCCTATAGATGTACATAACCTCAACTAGGACACACTTCTAATGATAGCCCGAGTTTCCTCTGGCCTTAACACCAGATTTAGACTATTTGACATATAAATGTCTGGTGGGACGACTTAGTCTGGTGTTAGAGCCAGAGGAAACTCGGGCTATTATAATGACAGACGTGTAGGCTGTTGACTGCTTTGAATGGGCACTCTTAAATTGCTTAGAGATGCCATCTGAAAGCTGTTTTGCACGTTTATATTTATTTTGTATGTGCGTCAACATGCGTTGAATAATGAGATGTGGTGTAATATTTTACAGAATGGAAGTCGTGTATGTAAATGCAATAAAATAGCTCAGACGCTAACGTTGCTGTATGATCTCCAGCGCTGCATTTGTGACGTCAATGCTGATTATCAATTCAAACCGTTGTAGTGCTGTGTAAAGGTAAATGTAACTAACATCCCATACCTGTCACAGTAATATGCAAATGTTTATTTAAGTGCAATCAAAACTGTCATGTTTACATATATCAAAATAAAATCCGGAGCGAGATTGTTACCTTGTATACTTAAAGATTCGTTAGCAGTCTGTCGGTGCAGTTTATAAAATACACACTAATGGTCGTTGTTGGATTGAGTTTTAATGTACTGTCTTATGAATTCTTAATCCACATGTAAGTGTCCTATAGAAAGAACAAAACAACAAAGACTGACAAACGACTTGTATGAAATACCAGCATAGACAATGATTACATTCTGGTTCAATAATAACGTTTGCGAGACTGTGATGTGATGGACGCCGTATCGTAGAATTCAATTAAATGGCCTAGATGGCATTCCATACATATTTAACTAGATTCAATTTTAACAGTCCAGTAATTATTAAAGGGTTAAAATAACGTACTTAACGACAACATTCACCGCCGCTTTAATCCAGAAGTTCTAAATAGTAACAGCTGGCAATTGACAGGGTATTATGTAAACTATATCACGACCACCGGTTCGTTGTCTCTGCTGTACTTAGAGATTATCTTGTTAATGATACAAGGTTTTGTTACAAGACTAGTTCGTGAACGCTTCAAAGCATGCTGCGTTCATTAGATATTGACATAACACTAAACAACATACATTACATATATAAGGGCAACGCTTTCCGCCATTGAATTAGGAATCATCTTTTCCTGAAGTAAATGGGAAGCGTCCTTTCCGTCGGTTTAGCGGCCTATCCAGATGTACTAGTAATCATAAGTAGCATATACAATAACATAGATGTGTTTACACCTGGCACGGCTCCAATAAGTAAACATTCGCCAATGTCCGGGTATAGTTTCCACGGATAACAGAGGATGCTGCATGGTCAATTCGGTCGTTTGGTAGCTTTGGTATAAGTATTACAATTGTATATTAAATACTGGTACAACGTATAACGTATTGGATATCGGCATAACTATGGAAGATGAACGAAACACACACACAGGTGATTGTATCTTTTAAATTTGGTAATAGGTACAGTATGTCCAAAACTGAATAACCTTACATACTACAGCTGTTTCGTCCTTCTAGGACTCATCGTTAACGCTACGGACCAAACGTTGGAAATCCAAATTGTCTGAATGCGTAAAACCCTTCATTTATGAATTTCAAACTGAAGAGGAGTGCACAGTAGGGAAAATACTACTTGTACTATAGAATATTGGTATACCTAACAAAATATCAACATATACCACAGCGTCAAAAGCAAAAAGACAAAATATATTCAGGAGCATGGCAGACACCAACAGGAGCCGAGGACACATCAACACAACAGAAAACACAACAACACGTGCCGAGGACACATCAAAACAGCATGACAGACAACAACAGGAGCAGAGGACACATCAAAACAGCATAACAGACAACAACAGGAACCGAGGACACATCAAAACAGCATAACAAACAACAACAGGAACCGAGGACACACAAAAACAGCATGACAGACAACAACAGGAGCCGAGGACGCATCAAAACAGCATGACAGTCAACCACAGGAGCCGAGGACACATTAACACAGCATGACAGACAACAACAGGAGCCGAGGACACATCAAAACAACAGGAAAGACATCATCAGGGGCCGACGACACATCAAAACAGCATGACAGACAACAAAAGGAACCGAGGACACATCAAAACAGCAAGACAGACAACAACAGGAACCGAGGACACATCAAAACAGCATGACAGGCAACAACAGGAACCGAGGACACATCAAGACAGCATGACAGACAACAACAGGAGCCGAGGACACATCAACACAGCATGACAGACAACAACAGGAGCCGAGGACACATCAAAACAACAGAAAAGACAACAAAAGGAGCCGAGGAAACATCAAAACAGCATGACAGACAACAACAGGACCCGAGGACACATCAACACAGCATGACAGACAACAACAGGAACCGAGGACACATCAAAACAGCATGACAGACAACAACAGGACCCGAGGACACATCAAAACAGCATAACAGACAACAACAGGAGCCGAGGACAAATCAAAACAGCATGACAGACAACAACAGGAGCCGAGGACACATCAAAACAGCATGACAGCCAACAACAGGAGCCGAGGACACATCAAAACAGCATAAAGAGACAACAACAGGAGCTGAGGACAAATTAAAATAGCATGACTGACAACAACAGGAACCGAGGACACATCAACACAGCATGACAGACAACAACAGGAGCCGAGGACACATCAAAACAACAGAAAAGACAACAAAAGGAGCCGAGGAAACATCAAAACAGCATGACAGACAACAACAGGACCCGAGGACACATCAAAACAGCATAACAGACTACAACAGGAGCCGAGGACAAATCAAAACAGCATGACAGACAACAACAGGAGCCAAGGACAAATCAAAACAGCATAACAGACAACAACAGGAGCCGAAGACTCATCAAAACAACAGAAAAGACAACAAAAGGCGCCGAGGAAACATCAACACAGCATGACAGACAAAAACAGGAGCCGAGGACAAATTAAAATAGCATGACTGACAACCACAGGAACCGAGGACACATCAAGACAACAGAAAAGACAACAAAAGGAGCCGAGGAAACAGCATAACAGACTACAGCAGGAGCCGAGGACAAATCAAAATAGCATGACTGACAACCACAGGAACCGAGGACACCTCAAAACAGCATGACCGACAACAAAAGGAACCGAGGAAACATCAACACAGCATGAAAGACAACAACAGGAGACGAGGACACATCAAACAAGCATAACAGACTACAACAGGAGCCGTGAACAAATCAAAACAGCATGCCAGACAACAACAGGAACCGAGGACACATCAACACAGCATGACAGACATCACCAGGAGTCGAGGACGCATCAAAACAGCATGACAGTCAATAACAGGAACCGAGGACACATCAAAACAGCATGACAGACAACAACAGGAGTCGAGGACATATCAAAAAAACAGGAAAGACAAAAACAGGAACCGAGGACACATCAAAGCAACAGGAAGGACAACAACAGGAGCCAAGGACATATCAAAACAACAAAAAAGACAACAACAGGAACCGAGGACACATCAACACAGCATGACAGACATCACCAGGAGTCGAGGACGCATCAAAACAGCATGACAGTCACCAATAGGAACCGACGACACAACAGGAACCGAGGACACATCAAAACAACAGGAAAGACATCATCAGGAGCATAAGACACATCAAAACAGCATGACAGTCAACAATAGGAACCGACGACACATCAAAACAGCATGACAGACAACAACAGGAGTCGAGGACATAGCAATACAACAGGAAAGACAACAACAGGAACCGAGGACAAATCAAAGCAACAGGAAAGACAACATCAGGAGCAGAGGACACATCAAAACAACAGGAAAGACAACAACAGGAACCGAGGACACATGAAAGCAACAAAAAAGATAACAACAGGAACCGATGACACATCTAAACAACAGGAAAGACAACAACAGGAACCGAGGACACAACAAAGCAACAGGAGAGACAACAACAGGAACCGAGGACAAATCAAAGCAACAGGAAAGACAACATCAGGAGCAGAGGACACATCAAAACAACAGGAAAGACAACAACAGGAATCGAGGACACATGAAAGCAACAAAAAAGACAACAACAGGAACCGATGACACATCTAAACAACAGGAGAGACAACAACAGGAACCGAGGACACATCAAAACAGCATAAAGAGACAACAACAGGAGCCGAGGACAAATCAAAATAGCATGACAGACAACAACAGGAACCGAGGACACATCAAAACAACAGGAAAGACATCATCAGAAGCCTAAGACACATCAAAACAGCATGACAGTCAACAATAGGAACCGACGACACATCAAAACAGCATGACAGTCAACAATAGGAACCGACGACACATCAAAACAGCATGACAGACAACAACAGGAACCGACGACACATCAAAACAGAATGACAGTCAACAATAGGAACCGACGACACATCAAAACAGCATGACAGACAACAACAGGAACCGAGGACACATCAAAACAACAGGAAAGACAACAACAGGAACCGAGGACACATCAAAACAACAGGAAAGACAACAACAGGAACCGAGGACACATCAAAACAACAGGAAACACAACAACAGGAGCAGAGGACACATCAAAACATCAGAAAACACAACAACAGGAGCCAAGGAAACATCAAAACAACAGAAAGTATTACCCTATTATATAGTGTACCAGTATAGTGTTACCCTATTATATAGTGTACCAGTATAGTGTTACCCTATTATATAGTGTACCAGTATAGTGTTACCCTATTATATAGTGTACCAGAATAGTAATACCCTATTATATAGTGTACCAGTAAAGATTTACCCTATTATATAGTGTACCATTATAGTATTACCCTATTATGTAGTGTACCAGTATAGTATTACCCTATTATATAGTGTACCAGTAAAGAATTACCCTATTATATAGTATCAGTATAGTATTACCCTATTATATAGTGTACCAGTAAAGAATTACCCTATTATATAGTGTACCAGTATAGTGTTACCCTATTATATAGTGTACCAGTATAGTGTTACCCTATTATATAGTGTATCACAGAAAACACAACAACAGGAACCGAGGACACATCAAAACAACAGGAAAGACAACAACAGGAACCGAGGACACATCAAAACAACAGGAAACACAACAACAGGAGCAGAGGACACATCAAAACCGCATGACAGACAACAACAGGAGCAGAGGACACATCAAAACATCAGAAAACACAACAACAGGAGCCAAGGAAACATCAAAACAACAGAAAGTATTACCCTATTATATAGTGTACCAGTAAAGAATTACCCTATTATATAGTGTACCAGTATAGTGTTACCCTATTATATAGTGTACCAGTATAGTATTACCCTGTTATATAGTGTACCAGTATAGTATTACCCTATTATATAGTGTACCAGTAAAGAATTACCCTATTATATAGTGTACCAGTATAGTGTTACCCTATTATATAGTGTATCACAGAAAACACAACAACAGGAACCGAGGACACATCAAAACAACAGGAAACACAACAACAGGAGCAGAGGACACATCAAAACATCAGAAAACACAACAACAGGAGCCAAGGAAACATCAAAACAACAGAAAGTATTACCCTATTATATAGTGTACCAGTATAGTGTTACCCTATTATATAGTGTACCAGTATAGTGTTACCCTATTATATAGTGTACCAGAATAGTAATACCCTATTATATAGTGTACCAGTAAAGAGTTACCCTATTATATAGTGTACCATTATAGTATTACCCTATTATGTAGTGTACCAGTATAGTATTACCCTATTATATAGTGTACCAGTATAGTATTACATTGTTATTTATAGTACCAGTCTGTTAATACCCTATTTTGGATAGTACCAGTCTGTTAATACCCTATTTTGGATAGTACCAGTCTGTTAATACCCTATTTTGGATAGTACCAGTCTGTTATGACCCTATTATGTAAAGTACGAGTCAGTTATTACCCTATTATATATTGTACAAGTTTGTTACATGTATTACTCTATTTTGTATAGTACCAGTCTGTTGTTACATTGTACCCTATTATATATAGTACCAGTTTGTTATTACCCTATTATATATTGTACAAGTTTGTTATTACTCTATTTTGTATAGTACCAGTCTGTTATGACCCTATTATGTAAAGTACCAGTCAGTTATTACCCTATTATATATATATCCAGTCTGTTATTACCCATTATGCATAGTACGAGTTTGTTATTACCCTATTATATATAGTACCAGTTTGTTATTACCCTATTATATATAGTACCAGTTTGTTATTACACATTATATATAGTACCAGTTTGTTATTACCCTTTTATATATAGTACCAGTCTGTTATTACCCTATTATGTATAGTACCAGTCTGTTATTACCCGATTATATATAGTACCAGTCTGTTATCACCCTTTGCTATATAGTACCAGTCTGTTATTACCCTATTATGTATAGTACCAGTTTGTTATTACCCTATTATGTATAGTACCAGTCTGTTATTACCCAAATATATATAGTACCAGTCTGTTATTACCCTATTATGTATGGTATCAGTCTGTTATTACACTATTATATATAGTACCAGTCTGTTATTACCCTATTATGTATGGTACCAGTCTGTTATTACACTATTATATATAGTACCAGTCTGTTATTACCCTATTATATATAGTATCAGTTTGTTATTTCCCTATTATATATAGTACCAGTCTGTTATTTCCCTATTATAAAGAGTATCAGTCTGTTATTACCCAATTATATATAGTACCAGTCTGTTATTACCCTATTATGTATGGTACCAGTCTGTTATTACACTATTATATATAGTACCAGTCTGTTATTACCCTATTATAAATAGTATCAGTTTGTTATTACCCTATTATATATAGTACCAGTCTGTTATTACCCTATTATAAAGAGTACCAGTCTGTTTACCTATTGTACATGTATATAGTACAAGTATAGTATTACCCTATTATATAGTGTACCAGTATAGTATTACCCTATTATATATAGTACCAGTCTGTCATTACCCTATTAAATATATTACCAGTCTGTCATTACCCTATTATATATAGTACTAGTCTCTCATTACCCTATTAAATATAGTACCAGTCTGTCATTACCCTATTATATATAGTACTGTAGTACCAGTCTGTCATTACCCTATTATATATAGTACAAGTATAGTATTACCCTATTATATATAGTACCAGTCTGGTAATACCCCTTTTGTACATGTATAAAATACCAGTCTGTTATTCGCCTATTATATATAGTACCAGTCTGTTATCACCCTATTCTATAAAGTACCAGTCTGTTTTCACCCTATTACCAGTCTGTTGTTACCCTATTATATATAGTACCAGGCTGTCATTACCCTATTATATATAGTATTAGTCTGTTATTACCCTATTATATTTGGTACCAGTCTGTTTTCCTTGAACACGTAGCACCAGTCAGCCATTCTATTGTACTGTATCGGTAACCATTAGAAGAAGTGATAAACACCTGAAGGCTCAAAATGATTCTTATTGTCCTGCTGCAAATGGTCCAATACTTTTCGTTGCATCATTGATATACGTCTCTCGCTCTCTAATACTTTTTTTTAAATGTGTTTTTAATTACATTAACATACATTTACAGCCTTTTTTCATTTAATGGCGGTGTTGTGTAAGCATTTCGTTTTACTTTTCCCTCGAGTTGTCCCGGACGCAGCTAGATATACTTCATTCGTGTACATGAATACGTTTAAGATAACTAACGCATAAGTTCCTGCACATGTATCAAGGTTTTATGGTACCTATTATTACATGTACTGTAGTATGACCATAGTGGTTAATTACAAGTCTTATAACTCATATGTCTGTACCTACCGTTCTATGGCTACAGCGGTCAGCGTAAAGATACTAGCTTGAACGTTGACCGTCTGAAGATAGGTGGACATCTTGCACATGACCTCGCCCAGTGTCCACTCGTTATGGACGTAGTAACCAAGCTGTATGGGCATATTCCACCCGGCGATCAACGTGTCGCTGATAGTTAACGATACCAGAAATACATTGGTAACCGTCCTCATCTGCTTGTTTCCGAGGATGACGATAATGACAAGGAGATTACCTATGACAGCACCAGTCATAATAACACTGTAGATGACGATGAGGAATGTCTTCAATTCATAAGACAAAGGTTCCGGTAGAAAAAAATCCGGGCTTGTCAAATATCGGTGATCGTAGTCGTATTTTAACGATTCGTTCAGAGCAGACAAATTTACTGGTAGAGTGGAATTATCCATATTTAATTCTTAAACTAACGTGATAATCCGTAATAACAAATGTTCCAATATCGGAATGCTGTGTTCTGATCCCAGTTGTTAGTTTAAGTGTGGTTCTGGTACAGTTTACAGATAGATTAACCAGATGTCATACATTAATCTGTGTGTTTATACGTAAAATATCTGCCCCTTAGTTAATGTAACCTACGCCGTATATCAAAAACTCCACAAAGAAGACTCAACGTCACTACATGTGCTTTCAGTGGCAGATAATAGACATGGACAGGAATAACTAGAACGTAAATAAAAGCGATGTCCCATGCGATTTCAATCTCTTCCCATATAGTGTTTATAGTTACCTACCAGTTTAAACAGAGTAAGCCGTGGCGATGTTAGTGAGACTAAACATCCCTCTATCTAAGTTAAACCTGCTACGTCATCAGGTACATATCCAGAGGAACACCAATTGACGGGCACCTGCTGCTGCTGCTGACCAACGCTGTTATCTCCATCATTCATTGTTTATAGAATCAATTAAGACAAATGATAATCTCACAGCACAGGTCATCAGTCGTCACGACTTCAATAAAACAAGTTAATGATGCAGCCTTATCTGTTCAAGTTATGAACGCTTGACGTCCCGAGAGGACCGGTGCGTGTGTATTGATATCTATAATGAAATCTGGACGCACGTTTCGAAAGAAACATAATAAATCACATTATGATTGTCCTGATTGAAATCTGCCGAATCTCATAGCTACAAGTAAAACACAAGCATTTAGAGGGTCGGAGAAAAGAAAGACAGACATCTGGATATGTTGCATAAACATTTTCACATTTAATGGGAATGCTCATACATACAATTTATGATAGAATATTGTGAACACGTTTAAAAATGTATATAGCTTTGATAAAGAATGACTTATAACAAGTATGGAAAGTTTATAACTGTATGATAGATATTTGCAAGAAAAATGCCGTTTGTTATTATATTGCTGAATGCTGAAATGCCAAAATGAAACTACCACTATATATTGCAGCTTGGTCCACTTAAAGATATTAGAACTCTTCTTTTCAAAACCATAACACCTGGCTCAGACATCCGTTGTTGTTGTTGTTGTTGCTGTTGTTGTTGGCAATGACCTTGGACATTTCAGATGAGTGAGATATTGTTTAGTACTTGTGGCTTTCAGCTCCTCCGCGACCGAACCCTGCATAACAGTACATACAATTTGTTATTATTGTTATTTTGTCAAAATTTTATAAAACATTGAACATAAAAATAGCTTGAACCTTAGAATATTGAAATAACTTGGTGTAAATGTAACGCTGAACTTTCAAAGAAAAGATGAATGACGATTTGTTGATTATTAGAAAATGTTAAATCCTTTGATAATTGTACAATTATAACATGAAAGGAACGTCAACACTAAAACTTTTGTAATGCCTGTTGCTAAATGCATTCTTGGCGTGCAGTTTTTAGCAGGAAACTTTATCTCGATTTTCTATAATTTGCACGTACCTCCGGGGCCAAACAAGGCGGAGTAACACGGTTTATGGCAGTATGGCTTTCCTTCATGCTGTTCAAGAAACATGAATTGCATTTCGTCAGACATTTTAAAGGTATATGGCAACACATTTTTTTTTTATTAAAAAACGATATAGTATGACTTGATAATACTTTATAAATACAGTAGAATATTCAGATTTTTCTTAGCAATAACGTGTATGCGTTTCGCCAAATTTTTAACACGTGTTATTAATAGGGTCGATGAATATGAAGGCTGAAAGAAACATTTTCAATGGTTAAAAAATTCCACGACAATTTCTTGACATCGTGCTTATATATTGCGAAATGATTTCTTCCAAATGGGGCATTATATGAGTGTTTTGGTAAAAACAGATCCCCTACCTAGTGAAGTTAGAACAACATAGCCCATAAGTTTTTTAAGCTGGAGATGTCCCACAAGTTAGAGAACTTACAGTGTATGAATCGGACATCAAAATGATCAAAATTATTCAATTTTTTTCTCAATATTCTAGAGACCGGAGACATGTCAAGAAAACTGACACTAGAAACATGTAAAACAGTTTGCAGTTTAAATTAAGGGCGTCATTAATCTGTTCGAAAGTATTACTGATCAACACGCACCAATGCTGTAAGGGATCGTGTAAAAAATAACACAAGCTATAATAATGCACAAATATCAAGTAGGTTTCCTCAGAAAACTTATGGATACCCACTCATTTACATGGCGATACATGACAAATACTATAAAGGTTTAATAATGGAAATTAGGTAGAATGGAGATTTACTTCGTATGACATAGATTTACCAGTATCATTAATGTTATTCGGTGTAATATTTAGGTAAATCTTACATACATGTAGCTACACTATGTATTTTGTCACTATTCTACGTTACCGAATGTAATACTGAGCTATAAGTGTGTAATACCTTACAAACCTACGTAGTCTCTATTCCAGGTTACACAATANTCTGTTATTACCCTATTATATATTACCAATCTGTTGTTACCCTATTTTATATAGTACTAGTCTGTTATTACCCTATTATATATAGTACCAGTCTGTTATTACCCTATTATATATTACCAATCTGTTGTTACCCTATTATATATAGTACCAGTCTGTTGTTACCCTGTTATATATAGTACCAGTCTGTTGTTACCCTGTTATATATAGTACCAGTCTGTTGTTACCCTATTATATATAGAACCAATATATTATTACCCTATTATGTATTACCAGTCTGTTGTTACCCTATTATATATAGTACCAGTCTGTTGTTACCCTATTATATATAGTACAAGTCTGTTATTACTTTATTATATATAGTATCAGTCTATTATTACCCTATTATATATAGTACCAGTCTGTTATTACCCTATTATATATTACCAATCTGTTGTTACCCTATTTTATATAGTACTAGTCTGTTATTACCCTATTATATATAGTACCAGTCTGTTATTACCCTATTATATATTACCAATCTGTTGTTACCCTATTATATATAGTACCAGTCTGTCATTACCCTGTTATATATAGTACCAGTCTGTTGTTACCCTATTATACTATATAGTACCAGTTTGTTGTTACCCTATCATATATAGTACCAGTCTGTTGTTACCCTATTATATATTACCAGTCTGTTGTTAGCCTATTATATATTACCAGTCTGGTGTACCCTATTATATATAGTATTAGTCTGTCATTTCCCTATTATATATAGTAACAGTTTGTTGTACCCCTATTATATATAGTATCAGTCTGTTAATACCCTATTATATATAGTACTAGTCTGTCATTACCCTATTATATATAGTATCAGTTTGTCATTACCCTATTATATATAGTACTAATCTGTCATTACCCTATTATATATAGTATCAGTTTGTCATTACCCTATTATATATAGTACTAATCTGTCATTACCCTATTATATATAGTATCAGTCTGTTGTTACCCTATTATAAATAGTATTAATCTGTTGTTACCCTATTATATATAGTATCAGTCTGTTGTTACCCTATTATATATAGTATTAATCTGTTGTTACCCTATTATATATAGTACAAGTCTGTTATTACTCTATTATATATAGTATCAGTCTATTATTACCCTATTATATATAGTACCAGTCTGTTGTTACCCTATTATATCAAGTATTAANTACCCTATTATATATAGTACCAGTCTGTCATTACCCTATTATATAAAGTACCAGTA